AATACGTACCCCGAAAGGTACGTATTTGTAGTATGGTTCTTGGATATAATTAAATGTATTAAATTGATAACATGTGTAGTTGTATTTATGTGCAAGTTATTTAGTTATGTTGATGTAAATAATGTTGCATTGTATTTTCTAAAAATGCAACAATTGTTGGATATATTTTTAGGATTTGTACAAGTAATTCCATCAGTGATTTCCTGACTTTCCCTGACCAATTATGACATTATTCATTGATTTGATAAAGTCTCTGCATTTCCTCTTACCATTACATAATATTCAACAAAGTCTATTTAAGCCTATTTTGTGCTCATTGTAAGAATTTTTTTATTAAAAAACATTTTATTCACTTACAAAAAACTAAAACTTTGTGTAAAATAGATTATGTAATTAGCTACGTCAATTCTAAGTCATATAAGTAAATTTAATTATTTAATTTAAACTAATTCATAAATTTTACTTAAATAAGATTCATGTAGAGCAGTGGTTCCCAATTGGGGGTAAACGAAATTGCATGAAGGGGTACGCACAAAAATCTAAAATCGGTTGATTTAAAATTTAAATGCACGAGAAGAAGCAATCAAAAAAATAACACAGGTCTACAAAAAAAAAATATTTTTTCCAGCTGCATGGAATATTTTTGCTAAATTATATGTTTTAAAGATCGCAGATACTAAAAATAACTTCAGTTATATCCCATCACATAAAGGTTTTTGCAAAATAAAAACAAATTTTTGATAAAATCTCTTATAATATATTTAGTTCATTGTAATAAATATTTTCTTACAAATAATCAACAAATTGTTTCTTATATTTATACACAATTTTAGGTCTACTCTTTTTTCTTATGAAACTTTTTTTTTGATTCTTCTCCAAACTTATTTCCGATTTTCTTCTCTGGTTTCTTGATTGAGCATCCAACTGTAGTCAGATAACATATTGACATCCCATTTTCATTGGTAACGTCTCTCGATATCACAGACATCCCGGTGAAATCTTTCGCCCTGCTCCCAAGTTTTCGGGAAAATAGTCAATATGGGAGTGTAAGAAATGAACTTTAAAGCTCATCTCGCATCCTCGAGCTTCATACGCTGCTGCCAGCATGCTTTGTACAATAGTTTTATAGTCAGGGTCCTTAGTATTCCCCAAAAATTTACGCACTACATTTTTGAAAGAGTCCCATGCTTCTTTTTCCTTTTCTCCTATTGTTTCCAAAAATCTGCTTTGTCTCAATCCCCAAGTTTCAATTTGAAATATGCAAAGTAAACCTTCTTCATAAACTCACTTGTTTCTTTGTTGACTTTTCACTGTGTATTCACCACAAACATAACAGATGCTGTCGGGAAAAATTACACAACCTCTGTGAGCCATATTCCAGAAATAAAAATACAAGCACAGTAGCGTTCGAATGCTGGATATAAACTGTGTGTGGCATTAGATGGCCAGCGAGATACTGAACTTATTTAGCTTGTTGAAACATGATCTAATCCAACAGCAGGTTGTTTATATTCATTCCTAGTATCCCATGTAACATGTCGAAACATGCTCAATATTACTCACTATCAACTTTTAACCCGTTTCTATACGATCATGCGACCTTCCTCCTAACGCTAAAACTACTTAACCCACCTCCCTCCACCACTACTCTCTTCAACCATTAACATTTTTATTTATTTATTACAAAGTCCAGATATCGTTGATAGAATTAATGTCAGAAGTCTTCGTTTTAAGGCTATTTTTTAAATAAAAGAAAAAACATAGTAAATTTTAAGTTAACTAGGAATTTTACACTAAATACAAACAAAAACTTGAGTGTAACAAAAAATTGACGAGATGGAATTTTTTTGGTATCTTTTTCATTTTTACCAAGTTGAAATCTGTAAGAAAATGTATAAAAATCCTATGCAGTTTTTTACTTGCAGACCTGTGTATTTGCTCAGATTTGCAAAACTTTTCAAATGTAAAATTATGGAAAAAATATTTGTTTTTCTAATTTGGATTTGAAAATGTTTTGCTATTTTAATGTAACATTAATGATTGTTTGATAGATTAATGGAAAAATCTTGGTTTACATTAAATTTTCTATTATCTCTATGTGCAATACTGAAAGATGTTGAAGTTAATGTAAAAATTAAAATGGCAGCAAAACTTTAAATTTAAAAATATAAATCTTTATTTTTATTTTGGGCTTAATTTTTTAACAACTAATATTTGCTATTTTTTGCATCTTTTCAAAATTCCCACACCATATTGTATGTAGTGCTAAGGATGATGGGTATGATGTCAAGTACACTTACACCTATCAGTATTGATGCTGCACGCCAATTTTTGCAGTGTTTCTGTTGCAGCCAATTGGGCTGCAACAGAAACACTGCAAAAATATTTCTTGTCACACTACTCTGCAAATTTCAATTTCAAATACTTCGAACAATGTTTCCAACAGTTTGGCTGATTATGGTTTTGTCAGCCATAATCAGGCACACTGTCGAAAACATTGTTCAAAATATTCAAAATTGAAATTTGCAAAACTATCGGAATATCGTTCAAAAAGCTTAAACTGTTGAATTCTATATACCGCCTGATGATGGTAGTTTTACACTACTGAAAGTACTAGCAGATGAAATCATTCTCCAAAGCCGGATAAGTTCCTTGTCCAAGATACCACTCCTGTAATGCCACTGCACGTAAGTGTTATAATGATATAAGAAATTTTGGCCTTGTGGATTGACGATGTGTGTTAGGTGTTTAGCTAGTTCCTAGTGCAGTAATGTAAACTTTTTGTACCAAAAATTGTGAATGATATCTACACCAGGTGTCTTCTGTTAACAGTGTATTGGACATCATGTATGTTTATTTCAGCACAGAACATAGTTGGTATGTTGTGCAAGTTTCTGTTCTCCTCCTCAATCCAGCCTGCATTAGCATTTTGTGTAACAGCATTGGACCAAAGAGAAGACCAATAAGTTGTGAGTTCTTCTTCTGTTGGTGTGCCACTGTGCTGTGTATCAGTGTTTGTTTTGGTACTGATTTGTCTGTAGAAAAGTTTTTCATTGTTTGTGAATAATTTATTTTGTTGTTTTCGTAGTGTACATGTTTTGTATCGTTTGAGTCTACGTGCTTTGGCTGCGAGTTTTTGTTTTAGTGTATCGATGTATTCTGTAATGTGTGTGTTGTGATGTTCATGTTTTGTGTGTGTTTTGATTTTCTTGAAAATGTTTTTGAGTTGTTTCTTTAATTTGGGTGTTATGTTGTCTTTAGTATATTGTGTCAGCCTGCCTAATTGTTGTCTAATGTCATTTATTTGTGTTTCTATTCTTCTCTGCCAGGCAGGGTTGAGATAGAATTGTGTTTTGTGTGTGTCTGTCTGTGAGTGTATTTTCAGTCCATGGTGTGTTACTACTGTGACTGCCCCAGCATAAACTAATGTATGAATGTCTGAGAGTGAAGAAATTGAATGAATGTAGTTTGGTAGTAAATGAGTGTTTACATAATCTAGTGTTTTCCCTACTACCTTTGACGTGTTGATTTTTGGTATTCGTGGTCTTTGTGTGGGATCTGTGCCTGTATATTTAGTGAGTGTTTCCTGAAATATAAGTGAGAATGTATTAACTAAATCTATATCTATGTTATCAGTGATGGATGAAAAAGTGTCTGTAGTATCATTAATGGTAGTTGTTGTATGTGTACTATTATCAATGCTTGTTGCTGTATTATCCTGACAGGTTACATGATCTTCATTAATAATGTTAAATGTTTCTGTCTGTTGATGTATTTGATCATCAACCTGTTGTTTGATAAGTTCAAGTGTTGTTTGTGAGATAAGGTTGTTGTGTATAATTGTTCGCTTTTGATCAACAACCCTTTGTTCTGTAACAGTGAAGTGAGGATATTGTTGTGTGAATCTATGGTGTAGTTGTTGTCTGTATGCTGTCATGTTTGTTTCGAGTCTTGTGATGGTTAGTAAGTGCGGATGATAAACTCGTTCATTTCTGTTGTCCATTTCATCCGTTGGCGTGGTTTGTGGTCTGTGGATGCATTGCCACAGAAACACCAAGGCTAGGTTGGTTCCTCACATCTGTTAAGGCCATTGCAGTAGCCATACTTGGGCCAATGCTGCTTTCACCACCGGTAACCAAGGGAGACTGGAGCCTATTTTTCGAACGTGAGCCTCTGCCTAACCCACGAACACGGACCTTGTTAACCCGGGCAATGTCCGAGCCAGTATCATACTTTGATCTGGTTACTACCACGATAATTATCTCCACAGAATGTGGGTGTGTGGTCACTCTTAGCTTCATTTCTCCCCATAGACCTTACTGGCATGGGTGTCCCTACCAGGAGCTTGTGCTCCAGCCTGCATTGCCCTATGGTTCAGTAAAATTACTGGGCTCTCCCACCACAACCAGGTGGTGACAACGGGAGAGAGTTGTTGTTGTTATTATTATTATTATTATTATTATGTTGGGTTTAGTGGGTAATACTCGGTTTAAACCGGTGGCTGTGTACTATGCCGGACCAGAGTCAAGGCATAGCAACCAAAACAAAACTAAAATTAAATGTGTATGTCAGTGTCTGTATTCAGGAATTTCCTAACAATATGATATGTTTATTATTATTATTTTGGAAGTTGCAAAATGTATTAAATTACTTAAACATGAAAAATAATTATATCATTCAATTTCAAAATGTATTTGAAATCTTAAAAGCAATTATTTATATCACAAGATTTCCTAGGATCCCAGGATATAGATCACTTTTTTCCCAAAATCCCAGGACAAGCAAAGAACCAGGAAATTAGAAACCCTATGGAAAATATTTACTTTTTTATACCAAATTGCTGGAAACATGCTTACAGTGCAATATTTGTTTAATTTTGAAAATGTCAGCAAATAAGTTGGCTTTACATTTTTTCCACCACAAAAGTAATTTTTACTTTTCTTTGTGCTGGAAAAATGTTTAATTTTAAAAATCAATATAAAACCTAATTTAAGACTTACAGTTCTTCTATTTTGATATTTAGGTAATCCAGATTCATCAAAACTTGCTTCACCAGAACCTCTTCCAATTACTGTAGATAAGTCACTGCCATTAAGCAAAGGATTCTATAAATATAAACATTAAATTTTATTTAGCATTTAAATACATCAAACAAATTTGTATTTGATATTAATTAAACTAAAATTATTCATTCTAAAATGGCTTGTATTATTTAAATAATCAAAATTATACAATGTAAATTGCAATATGAGTTTGGAAATAGAAAAGTTATAGTAACTGTAAAGTAGCAGCAAGAGAATTTGTTTGAATCAAGTTCCAAAGAAATACAAAATTAAAAGGCAAACATTTCTTTGAAAATTAGGTTACCCAAAGTGTATGAATAATATGATTTTTTCACTTAACCCTTAACTGGTTTCGTAAATTTTACAATCATAACTGGTATCATGGGGGCTGCGCAGCCCCCAAGCAAAATTTGCCTTTAGAGAGCAAGTTTAACAATGTGACAGTTCAAAAGTGCATAAATGCTAAATGGAATCCTTCTTTAGTATAATCAACTTTTATTTATTTATATAATTTTCTTTACTTAATTATTACAAGAGATCACAAAATTGTTACAACTTTTGGTGTATGCTTTTTTTAACAATACAAAAATCTACCCTATTGTAAGTTTTTACCAAAGATATTTTTTTTTCTTATTCTTAAGAAACTAATCTTATAAAAAAGTATCTCTTATAGCCTCTAACTATCATTTGTTAAAAAACCACAGATAATATAATCACTTCTATTTTTAACACTCAGGATCATTTTAACGCAATTACGTAGTTCAGTCTTGACAGTTATCACATAGTATTTTTGTAGTACTATGCACTTTGCAAATAAATTTCAAACAACTGTTGCACTTAGTAGCATATTTACCATCTTTTTTTCCAGCACAAAATGACAACATACTCTTTTCAGGAGATTNAATTCGCGATGAGGGCATCTATTCTTTCTCTACGGTATCCTTGCTGCATCGCCATGTTTTTTATATACTCTAATTCTTTGTAAGTGTCGCAGACGCTGGTGCAATGCGTGTGTGCCCTCCTTATCCACGAACGAAAAACGGCCATTTTTATATGCTCAGGGTCTGCGGAGTTCCTAGGAATGACGATAGGAAGATAAGTAGGTTTCCGGTATATATCTGTTCCGATTTCACCATCTTTGCAAGATATAGTTAAATCTAAAAAATTAACAATGCTTCCATTTTCTTGTTCCAGCTCCAGAGTTAACCCATACGGGTTGTCGTTGATCCGATCTAAAAACTGATTAACTCTGTGATTATCTTTCCATAAAATAAAGATATCGTCCACATATCTTGCGTAAGCCAATATGTCTTCCTGGAATGAGGGGAGTATATCATTTTCGAGATTACGCAACACTAATTCGCAGAGTATAGCTGACATGGGGCTACCCATCGGTACGCCCCGTGTCTGTAAGTAAGTTTTATCTTCAAATTGAAAGAAAGATGTGTGGCATACTAAATCCGCCAATTCCAAGATCTCCATGTGGTATTTCATAGAATTGCTAATTTTTGCTAACAAAAAGTCTCTCAGGGCGCAAAAGCAGGGAGGTAATTTAATTGACGGGTACAGAGCTTTGTAATCTAAAACCGTCATCCATTCTTTATCCATAAGCATGACATCCTCCAACTTTCTTAGCAACTCCACCGCATTTTTTACCGAAAAAGGCGAGTCTTGCATATTTTTCCGTATAAACTTAACCAGTTGTTTCTCCAACTTGAACGTAGGAGCATTACACTTCTCCACAACAGGGCGCAGCTGTGTTCCTGGCTTATGTGTCTTTCCGAACGCGAAAATTCTTGGGGTTCTCGGGGTCTGCACAACAGCCCTCTCCATATCCAGAAGACAGGCCAAAGGGGTTAGCGTAAATCTTCTCACCCTTTGTTGTAAAGCTTCTAAAAAATTATTCGGTGCAATAAGTGATTCTGTACTAATAATGTATTCATGCAATTTCCTTCTATATGAATCCCTCTTAATGAGCACCATACCCTTTGTTTTATCCGCTTTTATGAGTACAACATCATTCCTTCTGAGCCAGTCTCTGGTTTCTTTTATACATGTTTGGAAACGTAACGCGTTTTTGTTGTTTCGTTTCTCATTTTCGGCTTGGAATCTCGCTTTCCATCTACAGTAATCCTGCATAGTTAAACTCATGTTCTTTACAAGCAATTCAACATTCGGAATGATGTCCTCCGGGCGTACTATCGGTGTAGGAGCAAAGCAAGGACCGTATTCCAATGCATTCAACAAGCATTGAGGGGGAGAAATGTTGTCCCAAGCAGTTAATAACATTGTTTTTCTTACCCTCGGTTTAATATTCTGGCGCTTAAATAGCCATTTTAGCTTCTTAATATACTTGCGTTTCAGCCTATTCTCTAAGAAGTAAGATAAAGCAATCACCCTGATATTAACTTCCTTCAAAAGATCTTGATTCTCCTTATAAAGTTCATTTTCCAAATTTATGACATGGTGCAGCAATCTATAATATAGGCGTCTTGTACATCTGATGGCCTTATTGAGGCATAAATTCCTCAACTTCGGCAACAAACTGCGACAATCCAAAGGAAGTCTGATGCAATGAATTAACATAGGGAAAACCCCATTCAACCGACATTGGCTAAGAAATTCGAATTTCGTTCTCGCATGAATTGCTTGTTGCACCGAATAATTTTTTAGAAGCTTTACAACAAAGGGTGAGGAGATTTACGCTAACCCCTTTGGCCTGTCTTCTAGATATGGAGAGGGCTGTTGTGCAGACCCCGAGAACCCCAAGAATTTTCGCGTTCGGAAAGACACATAAGCCAGGAACACAGCTGCGCCCTGTTGTGGAGAAGTGTAATGCTCCTACGTTCAAGTTGGAGAAACAACTGGTTAAGTTTATACGGAAAAATATGCAAGACTCGCCTTTTTCGGTAAAAAATGCGGTGGAGTTGCTAAGAAAGTTGGAGGATGTCATGCTTATGGATAAAGAATGGATGACGGTTTTAGATTACAAAGCTCTGTACCCGTCAATTAAATTACCTCCCTGCTTTTGCGCCCTGAGAGACTTTTTGTTAGCAAAAATTAGCAATTCTATGAAATACCACATGGAGATCTTGGAATTGGCGGATTTAGTATGCCACACATCTTTCTTTCAATTTGAAGATAAAACTTACTTACAGACACGGGGCGTACCGATGGGTAGCCCCATGTCAGCTATACTCTGCGAATTAGTGTTGCGTAATCTCGAAAATGATATACTCCCCTCATTCCAGGAAGACATATTGGCTTACGCAAGATATGTGGACGATATCTTTATTTTATGGAAAGATAATCACAGAGTTAATCAGTTTTTAGATCGGATCAACGACAACCCGTATGGGTTAACTCTGGAGCTGGAACAAGAAAATGGAAGCATTGTTAATTTTTTAGATTTAACTATATCTTGCAAAGATGGTGAAATCGGAACAGATATATACCGGAAACCTACTTATCTTCCTATCGTCATTCCTAGGAACTCCGCAGACCCTGAGCATATAAAAATGGCCGTTTTTCGTTCGTGGATAAGGAGGGCACACACGCATTGCACCAGCGTCTGCGACACTTACAAAGAATTAGAGTATATAAAAAACATGGCGATGCAGCAAGGATACCGTAGAGAAAGAATAGATGCCCTCATCGCGAATTGTCGGAAGCGACTCCCCTCTCAGGGAGGGAATCAACGCAAAGAGAGAATCGTACTCAATTACATACCGTTCCTTAAAGGAATGGTTAAGAAAGTTACCAGGGATAAGGATGTACGGATAGTTTACAAACGTAATCCCACCGTATACAGGCTCTTAAGGAACGATAAAGGCAATTACGAACGCAGCGCAATGGCAGGAGTGTACTCTATACCATTAAAAGACCGTAGATTTAACACCAATCTAGTGTACATAGGAGCAACCTTAAGAAACTTAAAGAAAAGAATTGCTGAACATAAGCAATCAGTCAATAAAAACATAGACTCTACGGTGCTTGCGGCCTTTGCTAAGCAGCAGAATATCGAAGTCTTTTGGGATCGGGCGTCGATCATTAAAGCCACAAAATCCAGGCAAGCCATGAAACATCTGGAAAAACTGGAAATTCACAAGGCGCAAATGCACACAAGCTGTATTAATCATAGGGATGCTGACGGATTGTCGTCGGCATGGAAATCCTTCTACGATGAGTGACGTAGTTTATGTAGGCGGGAAGATTATATAAAATAATTTTTATTGGATGCATATAATTTATTTTATTTCTTTATTTGGTTTTAACTTTTATAATTCTTACTATTATTTAAGCTTGGTAAATGTTAACGTATTTACATATATTTATGTAACCGCTTTTTGAATTTCGTTTTACGTAATTTCGAATTTCTTCGTTCGATTCACAAATGTTAACTGATGATGATCGCTTAAAGCGTTCGAAAGCGTTTTTAAAATATTAAAAAAACGATTTGCTGGATGTTTAAAGGTGTTGATTTTTATTTATTGTGTGGTTCCAGTAAGAAAGTATTTTATTTACAAATGTAATCATCAATTCACTCAAAACTTTGATTTTGTAATTTAGCCCCTTCATCTGTTTGTTTTCAAATGTGTAAATAAAAACTGACTGTTTAGTTTTGATTCACATATATTTCAAGAAAGCAATGGGAGTATTCATAATATGTAGTTTACTTGTTAAATTGACTTTTATGGTTCTCTTAAAGTCATGTTTCTCAGACTAGTTTTTATCAGTATGAGTTTCATCTCAGTTTCAGATCCCAAAGATAAATATGTTTTTATTATATGTGCCACTCACTTGCCAAATTGATTAACTCCATAAAACAAAAAGTGGAGAAAAGTGACAAAGTAATATACATTCTTTTTTAAAATTTCTTGTAGAATATAAATTCAAATAAACATTGTAGAATGTGTTATTGTAGATGTAGCTTTTATCTAACAACATATAAAATGTATAAGGTAGCATAGATATGCTATAAACTTTATTATTATTATGACTTTTGTGTGATTGAGGAAGTTAATTGATTTAGCAAGTGAAAG